TCAGCTCATTCCAAACCAGCCTCGACGCAACCAGCAGCATGCCTTCCTACGCCCGAGCCAACACCTGAACCTGATGATATATACACCGCCTACGCTTCGCCATTACTGGCGCTCAGCGATAGAAAGAAGCTTATAGGGTTCCAGGAGTGGTCAGACGAGCTGGAGCCGCACTTCCAAGTGACCAAGATTGCAGAGGCCTCGTTCTCAGAGGTATACCGGTTGTCTGCGATATCACCTGCGAATGGTCTTAAGGAGGAGTCGGTGCTCAAACTCGTAGCGCTCAAGACACCACCAGCTGTTCCCCTACCAAGCCAGCTACACACTCGTGCGGTTCGAGATCGCGAAGCGCAACTAGAAAAAGAGATGGAGCAGCGTGAACAGGACGACGCGTACAAGTCACAGGTCGATGATGTTGCTTCTGAGGTTAAGCTCCTTCAGAATCTCACCCACATACCTGGATTTACCGTCTTCCGCGACCTCACGATTGTGCAGGGTAGACCTTCAGCGTCTTTCAACGATGCGTGGAAGGAGTGGAACAAGGCGCGGCCACGCGGAAAGAAGAGTGAATTCCCCGATCCCAGCAAGAAGACCAGTTACGACGAGTACCAGCTCTGGGCTGTAGTAGAAATGCAAGACGCTGGTACGGATGTTGAGAAGATTATGGAGACAGGTGGTATGTCGTCGATATGGGAAGCTTGGGACGTGTTCTGGGGGGTAGCAATCAGCGTAGGAAAGGCAGAAGAGGCGTGCCAGTTCGAGCATCGCGACTTGCATCTCGGCAACATCTGCGTTCGGTCTTCACGCTCAGGTGGGGACGTGCTGCAGCCCTCGATCAAAGACCCTTTGCGACGCAAACTCCGCTTTACCGGCCTCGATACGACTGTCATCGACTACACCTTGTCGCGCGCAGACATCCTCGCCTCATTATCCCGGTCCCGCAGGACGTCTGTCATGTCTCATGTTTCCAGCTCCACAGCCGCATCTGCGAGTGAGGAGATGGTCGACGTCGCTTATCTGGATCTTAACAAAGACCCCGCGCTCTTCGAAGGCGACGCAAGTGAAGAGTACCAATATGAGATCTACCGCTATATGCGCGGCGCAGCACTCTTCGACAACCCGTTGCAATACGAGCCGTTGGATATACCGCAAGAGGAACCTGTGGAAGAGGAAGAGCCAGAGCAAGCCCCAGTCACACCCCGTCGCTCACCTAGAAAGAACACGCACATTCGCTTCGACTCGGGCGACGACGAACCACAAATGCCTCGGCGATCGCCCAGGAAACACGGCGACGAAACGGTACTCGATGTTGCACCGATACCGACGGAAGAGAATTCTGACGAAGACGTCTGGCGCGGTTTCCACCCCAAGACAAATCTTGTTTGGATGCACTTCCTACTGCATAAACTCCTCAACCACCTCGCTGCTGTCTCTTCAGCACCACATCACGTCTCTTCTCGTCCTGTCCTTTCTAAACACGGCGAGGTGGATAAGAAGAAAGTGGATAAGAAGGCTATGAGGCTGTACAAGGTCTTGCAGAATGTCAGTGAACTACTGTGTCCTGTCGCGCTGGGCAGAGAGGAGAGTCTGGGTAGCGTAAAGGAGTTGGTTGTGCTTGCTTTGGAGGAGCGGTGGGTTAGGGTTGAGGATGTGGCAGGCTGAATATTTTGATTTGTAGCATCATTGGTATTTGGGTGCTTCATGGAAGGGGGGTTTGCATTGGCAGGAGTTTGAAGGCGTAGCATTGATATGAATCACGAATACGATTAGTCGCATACCTCGTATATATCAAAGTGAAGACTAACCTTAATGTATTAATGTAATCTATGTCCTATTTGCTAAGGCGCTAGTTTAGAAGCAGTTTTTTCTATTCTACAATTCTATAACGCTACTACCTACCTAAATAGAAAAGCACTATAAAAGCTACTAACCTAATCTTTATTACTCTAATTACCTTAACTACTATATTTACCTTAGTTAAACTATACGCTAGGCCTAAACGTAGTAAGTACTATATTTACTAATACTTTACGCTACTTATACGCTATTACTAAAAAGTTTATCTTATTTAGAAAGAGCTCTTAGCCTACAAAGACTTATAGAAGTAGCGCGTCTAACGTAGTAAGCTCTCTATTATAGAGATAAGAATAGCCTAGTACTATAACGTTGTTAGTAACTCTACTTTAATACTCTAGCAAATTACGTACTATCTTTAAGTATCTAGAATAGAAGCTTTAATATATTAAGCGCGTATAAGCGCTTTGCTAGTTTAAGCAACTTACTATTCTTTTAGCTATAGAGATAATTAATATATAGAGTAAGAAAGTAGATAAACTTCTATTAAAGAGAGAGGTTAAGGTGTATAGCGTTAAATAGGTCTACCTAAGCTAAGCTTATTATAAGAGCTAAGTACCTAATATTATTTTAAAGAAAATTCTAATTATCTATTATTATAATAGAGAAAAGAAGAGAGTATAAGAAGTACTCTTTTTATAAGAACTTTAAGCTTTAACTCTAGTTCTATATAAGCTATTACAAGACTTATTAAATAACTTATTACGTATTTATTATAGAGTTATTTTTAGCTACTATAGTTAAATATAGAGACAACTATTCTAATAAATAGCCTTAGCAAACTATAGTTATTAACTTACTAACCTACTAACGTACACACCTAAAGTTCCTCGCGAAAAGACTTTAAATTCGAGCGCGAGCCCACAAGAAGTGAAGACTAACGGAGGCCATAAGCCCCGCGAATCCGACTAAGAATAGTAGTGATTGGTAAGGAAGAAAGCGACCGTTGAGTGCGCATGCAGAAGCAACGGTCATGAAGCCAAGTCGGCTAGCGCAATCTACCAGTAAGCAACTACATGTCATCTTTCACGCAACCACTCATCATGGAGACCACCTACACACTCTAAGCATTCGCGCGCCATGCGCGTGCGCTTGCGAAAAGTCTTGCCCCAAGAACCAAACAGCGTCGAGTATTCGCCTCCAAAACACTAGAGACGGAAGCCTCGCCAGCCGAAACGAAAAACAGATGATAAACGAAGAAACGACCGGGAAGACGGCAACCCGACAACCAAAGCCGAACGACGCCACACCCCCAAAGCCACTAGCCCCCCATCATCCACAGGCCTTCCTTCCATGTGATAGAGAATGAAGGCAGCAGCGAAAGCCTCGCACCCCGCCACCGCAAACGGAAGGCAGAGCCCCCATCCTTATCGCACCACGTGCAGTCCAAAACGGTGAAACGGCGTGCCGCGGGTACAAGACGTCGCAACACGACCCATCCGCCGGGTCGCGACACGCCCTCGCTTAGATGCATCGGACGAGGCCAAGGCGTGAGCGTCAATGACTTTGGGTGGAGCCGCGGCATGGAGCCAATGGCGCGCGGTCAAGCACGGCAAGACCTGCGTCGCTTAGAGCCTTCTCCGTTCTGGCGAGGCAAAAGAGATTAGAGGCGCTGTCTGGCAGCACCAACACGGTGTATACGGTCGGTGGGTATATACTACGTGCATGACAAAGGGCTAGGCCGTTGCGAGTGGGAGGGCGCTGGCTGCTGGGATTAATTAGTCCACCTACCCACGTTGTTCGCCCGCGTTCTCGTTCGTGTTGGATCTTTGCTCTTCTTTTGTAGAGTGACGTTCTGGTAATCCCACATCTTCGTTCGTCGTCTATCGTTGTCTGCATTCTCCGTCCCTGCACATTCGCCCCCCATGCGTTCCCACGCACGAACCGGCCTCATCGCCGCCCTGGCCCTAGCAACGCAACTCCTTGTCGTCGTATCCGCACAAGAAGACCGTCCCAAAGGAAACTTCCGCCAATGTCTCGAAGTCAGCCCCGAATGCCCCGTCTTCGCAACGCTCTACGGGTACCGCCCTAATCTAGGCGCAAACGCCTTCCTCTGCGCCCTCTTTGGCATCCTCTGCATCGGCACGCTCGTCGTGGGTGTTCTGAGCCGCACATGGACCTACACTGCCGCACTGGCCGTCGGAACCTTCCTCGAAGCAGCGGGATATGCGGGCCGTGTTATCATGAACGATAACCCATGGAGCGAATCTGGATTCAAATTGCAGATTTGCTGCTTGGTTCTGGGCCCGAGTTTCGTTGCTGCCGCGATTTACCTCACGCTCAAGCACTTCGTCTTGTACTGTGGACCACAGCATTCGCTTCTCAAGCCGCGTCTCTACCCCTGGATCTTCATCGGCTGCGACTTCGGTTCTATCGTTCTCCAGGCTTGCGGTGGTGGTATGGCGGCTGCGGGTGGCACAACGAACAAGGCGCTCATCGATGCGGGTAACAACCTGATTGTCGCCGGTATTGCGTTCCAGGTCGTCACCATGGCGGTGTGTGGTGGTCTTGTCCTCGTCTACGTGTTCCGGTACCGCAAGGCGAGGAACCAGCAGGCCATGGGCGAGAAGAGCTCTTATGAGATGGACAAAGAGACGGGAACCGTGCGCTTGGCTAAGATTAAGCTGTTTGGCTGGATGATCGTCCTCGCGTACACGACTGTGCTTATCAGGTGTATCTACCGCTTGCCCGAAATGGCTGGTGGATGGGGAAACTCGCTTATGAGGAATGAGAAGGAGTTCTTGCTCCTCGATGGAATGTAAGTCGCATTGATCCGAACCCTTGCAGAAAAGACAGAATACTAATACATTATTCAGGATGTTGGCTATTGCTTGCACGGTGCTGACGTGCTTCCACCCTGCATACTTCTTCCCTCCTTTCGCTGCTTTCCGCAGCCGCAAGTAGCTTTTTTCTCCTTCGTCGACAGTCTTAGATGTATAGATGTTTGCGTCTGTTGCAGCGGTCACTCCGTATCATATTAGCGTTACGACCTTGATAGCTTTTCCAGCATAGTGATATTCATAATAGACAAGATTTTGTAATTTCACATACCATGAACTGTTTCACTACCCAGAGATACTATGCAAGGTGATGCTCATTGTTGCCATAGACTGACACCTTCGCCCTTCGTGCGTGTCACGTTCACCTAACTACACAGTCCCCCACCTCTCAGCATACCGATCATTCCCCGCATCAACATTCCTCTCATACTCACTCCGATCCGCCACATACTGCGCCGTCTCCTCGCCAAATACCTCCGCAATCCACGCAAACGTCACATCAATCCCTGCCGAAATACCAGAGCTAGTCCATATATTGCCATCCACGACCCAGCGAGCCTTTGCAACCCACTCAACATTCGGATGTTTGGCTTTGACCTTGGCATATATAGTAAGCAAAGAGTCTGAAACGATGTGAGGAGACGACAAGCAGGTTTACTTACATCGCCGAACGCGCGCTTGTTAGTCGTAGCCCTCCTGCCATCTAACAAACCAGTCCTAGCTAGAATCTCACTCCCCGTACAAACAGTAAGAACCCATTTGATGCTCCCCTTGCCGCTCAAATCCAATCTTTTGAGATACTCGACCTGTGGCTTCATCCACTTGTCGCTCTCCGGTCCCCTCGATCCAATCCCACCTGGGAGGAGCAGCACCTCTAGATCATCCGGTGCGTTGTCGAATGTATGAGTAGGCACTATGGATTGTGAGAACTGGGAGCCTTGCTTGTCTTGCAAGCTGTTCTGGGTTGGCACTGGGTCTAGTGTTGCGGCTATGGTGCAGAGCGTGAGAGGGTGGTCGGCGGAGAGGATGTTGAGGGCATCTAGGGGGCCGGCATAGTCGAGTAGGTGGAAGCCGGGGAAGATGATGACTCCGATTTTCGAGGGGAGAGAGTTTGCTGGCATGTTGAGGTTTGGAGCGGGTGATTGTGTTGGTGGGGGCAATTGTTAACAAAGTTGAGGGTCGGCCAGGCAATAACGTATCGATGTAAGTATGTCTACTGTTTTCGAGATAGTTTGCTATAGGCCCGGATGTAGTGGTCTTTGTTGTAGCGTGATCATGTAGAGTAGGGCATTGGTAATCGGCCGGGCTGGGTACCTCAGTGGGGGAACCTTGGAAGCGGAGTAAGTGGACGCCTTAGACGCTAACATCCGCGCGCCGATTGATCCAGGGGCCTTTTTTTGTGCTACAAAACAAAGTGATAATAGCCCCACGGCCAGTAACATTATTCTACAACATGTATCACAGGAACACGAGATCAGCAAGTTCAACGATCGCAATACGAGTACACCATGGCGAAAAGAGCGAAATGGTATTGTCATTGAAATCTATACAACACCGTTCATGTGTACGCCCTGCGCATCTTGTTGCTGTACCGTAAGCATCTGCCTTGCCCGTTCAATCCTCTCCTTTGTCATGATGTAGCTCTTGGGGATGTCTCCCTTCTGAACCATCTCCTCGTGCACGGCGGTCAGATCCTTGCCGTCGCTTTCGCCCAGTACCATATCGACAACTGCCTTGCCGCATAATGTACCGTTTGGCATACCGTGTCCTGTGTATCCGCCGGCTAGCCATAAGCCGTCTCTATCGGGCACCTTCCCTACCCATGGGTGGTCGTCACGAGAATATCCCATGATGCCAGTCCACTGTGCCGCAGCCTTAAGCTCATGTAAGCCCTCAATTTGCCCTCCCAAGTTCAAGACCTTCAACAGCGCACCGCGGAGATATGCAGCGGAGCCTTCGTCAATCACGCTGTCATCCGAGATGCCTATGCTTGGGAAGTTTCCAGCTCCGCGGCCGCCACCAAACATCAAGTGACCACTGGGATTTGGAACGCCCTCGAATGGGCGCTGGATGAGATAGTCGTCGTTGTTCTCCGGTTGACCTAGAGCTCCAACCATGCCGTACGAGTCGGGGAGAAGGGTCGATCCTTCAGGTGGGAAAAGGGCTGACATCTCCCCACGACAGGGCACAATGAGATCGGCGAAGTGAGGTAAGATGGCTGATGTGTAACCGTTCGTTGCGAGGATGACGGTCTTGCTGCTAATGGTACCGCGGGGTGTGTGGAGGGTGTGCGTGCCATCTGATGAGGTAATCTCGGTGACGGGAGTCTTAGTCTGTAGGTTGAGCCGGCCAGTCTTGATGAGCTTCTTGAGAACAAATGTGACTAGCTTGTACGGCCATAAACTCGCAGCTCCTTCACTCAGCGTCGCTCCGACACAGTCGGGCGAGACGCGATGCTTCTTCAGCTCCTCCTTGTCCTTGATAATGGTGACGTGGCGTGCGATCTCGGGAGCGATCTCCCGGAGATGCTCGATCTCCTTCTCAGCCTCCTTCATCGCTCCTTCAGTCCAGAATGTGCGGCAGCCGGTAACATCTCGCCACTCGCAAGGGACGCCATTATCTTGGATGTAGGACTTGACTGCGGCGACGTTCTTGAGTTCGAATTCAGCGACGTCGCTGCTTCGGTCGAAGAGAAGGGGTTGGCAGTGACCACCGTTCTGTTTGCGCTACCGTCAGCAAGTGTGCGCCATATGTTTTGTTCGACTTGAGTACGAAGAATAGACGCGGTCGTCTTACCCTTCCTGTAGCGCCCCAGCATGCCTCTCGGGCCTCGAGCAGGACAACACTCTTGCCAGCAGCCCTTTCGTCCTCCGAAAGATATCTCGCAGCACTTGCGCCGGTTATACCAGATCCCACGATAACGATGTCAGCCTCGGCGGGCAACTCCTCTGTCGTACAATGACCCAGTAGAAACTCATTCGGCTCGCTGTGCCAGAAAGAGTCTGACGAGGTAGGCGTCGGAAGCGTGGCGCGTTCGTGCTTCATGGTGGGTTCGAGGATTGGGGAAGGCAGCGGAGGGAGGTTTGGAGAGTCGGGACGGATTGCGATCAACTCTTAAATACGTGAACTGTTAGGTGCCAGCACTGAAGAACAAGCAGATGCGGTGTGACGAACGATACTCCCCCGGGCTCGGAATGCGTATATTTGTACCGAACGATGATCAACCTCAGGGCGGCGTGATTGAGGGGTGGTGGGTCATACTTCGGGATTCGACGCAGCAGATTAGGCTACCTGGGGCATCATGTCGTTACTCCGATGATAGGACATGGCGACGAGGGGATTCCGAATAACGCGTCTCAAATGTCGATATCATCGTCGCGTGTTTGTCGCGAGCATCGCAGAAGCACAGAGCACAGGAAGACATGAAGGTACTCACTGCAGCGGTGAGATCGTTTGGTACCTGATACATGGCATGGCAGGTGCGGGACCGGAGCAGACGCCGCGAGTCAGTAGGGCTGATTATGTAAAGGAGCTGCGCAAATCCACTCCGAACTCTCTGACATGCCATACCATCTTTACTAGCATAGAACGAGTCTGTTGTTTGGTTTTGGTACCAAAGTATGGTTCAACGTGGAGCCGCGCCACTCTAGCATGTGAGCACATCTGACAAACATGGCATCACGGCATGCGACACATGGCGTTCGGTAGGGTAACGTCAAATCGCATGCTTAAAGCTAATGTACAACCAAGGTAATGACAGTAAGAACGCGAGTGAAGATAGCGACAACAACGCCGCCATCTGCCCAGTTGCCCAGCTCGCCTCCCAGTAAACCCGCTAACCTCGAAACAAATCCGTTCAGCCATGTCATTATCCTCCTTCGTAACGTTCGTCAAACGCTGCCAGACACCCGCTAGCGAGCGTCGTACCGCCAGCAGTACTATCAGCCAACCATACTGCTTACTTCCGTCGTTGAACCAGCTCTTTTGCCGAAGCAGTCAGCGAGTACCCGTTGAACAGCCAGTCGTTCGAATGCCGTCCTTTCCATGGGTCGCTTCCGCTTGTGCTTCGCCGACCTGCAGCCTGTATGCTAGGTCTGTCACCCTGTACCGGTCCTGCAGTTGGTCGTGTCGGGCTGATAGGGCTTGTAGCGGAAGCATGTCTTTGTGAGTAAGGTGCTTGCTCGGGTGGCATGACCATGGGCGACTTGGAGCGTTTGCGAGACGTGGCTCCACGAGAGCGACTCCGTGAGCGACCGCGGATGCGTGCTGAAATGGCACCGAAGAAAGACGCCTCGGTCGGCGAAGCTGTTGCGCGAGCCGTGGGTGATGATGGAGAATAGGGTGGAGATGTTTGACCCGACGACGACCGTGACTTTTGTGAATCGACAGTGTTTGTCCGGATTGGTGGCGGCATGGGCTGGTTGTGGGAAGTCATGTCGATGGCCTCACAAATAGATCAACAGATGTTTGCAGAGTCGTATTCGTCTCTACGTATGAGAGTAGTAGCGTATTGCAGGCGAAGATGACGAAGGATGACTGCAGAGGCCAGGTGTGAGGCTCAAAGGTCAGGCTGTCAGCACACTATATAATACCTACGCCGCAAAACATCCTCGTCATTTCCTTTCATGTGTGTCCTCAGCACATACTTGGCGCATATGGCAGCTCAATCAAGATGTCGGTGACTTGTTACAATCTCGCAACATGGCGTCCAATCAGACGGCTTAAACTTCAGGCGGGGCCTCCAGTTCGCCATGTTCCTCAGGTGAGCTCACCGACTCCCCACTTCGGAGCGAGCGTCTGAAGCCCCGCAGTGCACTGCAAAGCCAACGCATCCAGCCGAAGAGCCAGACCATCAGAGGCTCCGATGGCGATATAGGGCTAGCCGCAAGCCAATCAATGCAGATGATATGCCTCTGAACCATGATTTTGGGGTCACCGGTTTTGAGGGGTGCGAAGGCTTGTCCCCGCCAGAGTGGTTAGGTCGCGCTCTTTGGAGCTTGTCTGTGCAATCAATGTGCCAGCTACTACTTCTCTATCCAGCACGCTGGTAACGTCGGAGTAGAGCGAGATCATCAATAGCTGTTACGCAATGTTGCGTTGGACTGACACGGAGCTGCAAAGTCCCGCAGGAATCCGTGTGTCCTCCAGGACGGCAACGTGCGTGTTATCAGTCCAGTATGCGAGCTGAACTGATATGCATGTCTCATGTCAAAAAACAAGCTCTCGAGTACCAAGCAATAGCTCTAGGCCTGTCCACTTTAATGGCCTGTGTTGCTACCTAATCACCTACAGGTCAGAAGCGAGATGGTGCTTGATAACAAAGGCAGCGCCCCGCACTGTGGTGTCGCGCCCAAGAGTTTAGCCAGCTCTAGGCCTGCAGCACACACGGGTTGAAGGTACTTCGTAGAGCACTATTAGAATATCCCAATAGAGTTTCAGAACCAGAATCATCAAAAAAAAGTTAGTCCGCTGCAGATATGTCCCAAAGGCGGATCTGGACTTCGAAAACGCAAAAAAAGTAGTCAACGTTGCAATCGTGAGAAGGAGCTGTGCATCCTCCGGGAGCTATTGTATGTTAGTGATGTGTTGGTGATGTAGGATGTGGAATGGAACGTACTCGAACCCGGGCCAATTGCTTGGAAGGCAATTATCCTACCGTTGGACCAAGAATGCTTGATGGAAAATCGACCAAATTTGATACTTATATTCTTAGCAATGCTGTCGGGACTCATGAGTGTTGCGTCTCAACACGTCTAACATCGCATCGCTGGAAGCTGCAATTGAACCCCGCTTTCGCTTCGACCCAGCTTTCTCCATTTGCTAAACGCCCCACTTCATGCAACACCAATTCCCGCTCGCGAACACTTGCCTTGTCAATAGTTAGCTCCGTGTATCATTCGGATTAGCAGCCGTTCTAAAGTCTGATGTGGGATCTCTGAAGGGAACGAGCAACAAGTGCACATCAACAACCAACGAGTCCCCACTTTCTCAGCTCAACCACATTGGAACCAGCGAATATTCTATGCACAGACACTAGGTAATTTGATGCAAGACTTCTCATTGAATCCTACATACACATCTACTGACTCGATCATCCCCCTCTAACTACTTCTCGATACAT